TTGATTCATGATAAAAAAATAATGAAGTACTCACCCAAGTAAGACAGAACGTGACCAAAAAAGCCTGTTTAGTTGCAAACAATTGCAACCAACTGGGCCTGCAGGGGCCCCATCCACAGGAAATATCAGCCTCATCGAAATCCGTATGAAGACTATTCGATTTCTCATCTCCATTCCCAATAAGTTTCCCATTTTCAATAGGACTTATCTCCAGAACTTTGCCATTAGTTATCGTTCCATTATTATTCTGTTTATTGCAATGCACATCCCCATTACCATTCGCCAATTTCTCCGGTGGAATGATGGCATCAACAGTACCATTGGCAAAGATCTGTGTATTTTCACCGGCCATTTTTCCTGGCTCTCCACTGAACTTTTTCCTATAACAGTCAACCTGCAAAATAAAAATTAAAAAAATAAATCATTAATCGACCGAGAGAATTGGCTGAATATTTGAGCACAGATGAAAGTTAAATATCAATGGAGTATCTTGGACTTTGGAAACGAGTGAAAATGAGTCTATGAAACAGTTATAATCGAAAGCTCTTTCGAGAGTGAAACCACATCCACCTACTGTCTGTTGGACAATAGGACAGAAATCGTTGCGTAGTACAGAGAGTGAGCATCGTTTAGCATTAGACACGGTGTCAGACACTGTATCCTGACATACACAAACGTAAAGTATCCCATAAGGCCCCCCAATGGTGTAGGAGAGTTGGTCTAGGTCGCCTTTCACTGTCCCACTGACGGAGAGCAACAACCACTAATACCAAGTGTAAACCCTAAGTATTTTGCCAGTGCTCGGTGTCACCCGGCCTAACGTCTCTCAATGCCAACACAGACTATTAACCGCTACATCTACATTCATTTCAATTGATAGTATTCATTGAAAAATTTATGTATTCTAGAAGATTGATATTCTTGCCCGAAAAAAATTCTCTTCTTCACGGTGATCTGGAGGTACTCCAGGTCCTTCAGGTTCTCCAGGTTCTCCAGGTTCTCCAGGTTCTCCACGTCCACGTGTAAATAATACAGTTGCGTGCAATAATTTCATTGCGAGATTTCAGAATAATTATAAATATTAATAATTGGTATGGACTCTCAGTCGAGGTCATTTGGTGAATAATAAAATTATTAAAAATAATTCTGATGGTTAAAGTTGAATTTGGGAATGACCCATGTAGAGAGTAATCTTCAGGAAAATGTGGGATTATAGAATTTCGGATATTTTGAGTTCTGGAAAAACCGGAATTTTCTGCAATTAGTTATTCAATTTATTTTCAGATTCCTGAATACGAATTTCCATAAATAGAAAAAAAGTATGGACAAAAAGAATAAATAAGTGGTAATAAAAAAATCTCGGCTCCTCATGTACTTCGACGATTCTCAAGTGATACATCCGTGTCAAATGCCAGTCGTATGGAATTTGAAAAAAAAAAAAAATTGTCGTAAATCTGTCAAGTTACCCAACAAATAACAATTTTCTAACATGTCCATTACGATAATATTCCCTCGTTTTAATTGAAATCCATCCGTGAGAAATTGTACAGCCACAGTAATCCTTCAATATATCCATTATACCTCATTATTATTTTTCTTCAGCTCAGAATTAGGCTGCGAAGGTCAACATTACAAGTCTTTTTATTGTCCATTGAAATGACTGTTTATACTTGATTCTAGGGCGCATTAAAAAATAATCGTAATAATTCATTCATATTGGTTACGACTCGAGCTGGCAAATGGAAAGGCTAATATTTCCATTAGAAATACCACGTTAATTTATATTATGACAAATATAATTTATGTGCGGTATTCGTGTATCAACATTTGAAATCCGTTTGTACTATCTAACATTAGCCGTATCACATATTAACAACGGGGACAAGGCGGACTTCCACTCCCCATTGGATATGTGAACTCAGTCACATATACATATACTTTATTGACTATCTAAATTGATACTAATTCATTGCTGCTAATGACAGCTTCAAACAGGCTAATGCTTGATGGTTATACCAGAGAAGAGGGAGAACACGACATTACAGCCATTCTAAAATATCCAATTTGTTCAATTGGAGAATAATTGTTATGACAATTTTAATTCACCATTATTTCTAAATGTTCTACATAAATGAGAGAAGTGCATCAATTTTTTTTTATTGACAACCTGATAGATGGGTTAATTGAATTTTTTTTAATGGTGAAAAATAAATCCCATTGGGGAGATGATGAATGAAAAATTAAGGAACGTCTTGCAGATGCTTTATCTTCACGGGAAAGGTCGTATGTATGAGTATGGAGACTTGTAGATGTAATAATAGATTGTTGATACGATGGAAGGGGTAATAAACCCACCGCAAATTATGGACAATCATAGCGTTCTATCGGCATAATCGTTTTTTGGCAAATAACACGTTGTGCCTCAAACGTAACAATATAATACATGTCTATAGATATCTGAGGAACATCTGCACTTGTATTACACAGGTATGTCAGATTATCGGGAGCAGTTACGAGAGAATTACCCATAGAATAATCGAGCTTCTAACTCGGCATCCACCGGATATTCTCGGGCAATAATTTTTTCATGGCCCATACTTTGTTCCTTCTTTTTAGTGGTTTTTCCATCTGTATGGGGCTATGTGAAAAGTTGGTATGCAATATGTTATGTACCAGTGTAAAATTTCAGTAACGGGCGCAATGTACAAATAACACAAACCGATAATTAAGACAGCTCTGAGAGATCGACGAAACCGGCTGGCATTCACTTGTAGTTTGAAAATATATAGGCGCGTTCTTCTTTGCATATTTTTACCTTTTCTCTTTCCGCATTTCGCCTGAGAAAAAATATTCACGTTCCACCGATAGAAATATTTCAATAAAAATTCCGTATCTTTTCGTAAAACGTAAAAAAAAAGGAGATATGGGCAATAGCTCCTTAAAATTCCAGAATTAAACTCTGATATCAATCCCACCGAAACCCCTCGGAAATTTGCACTTGATGATTGCGCAAGTAAATATTCCGAGGAAATGTAACAGTTGAGTCGACGATATTATTTTTCATCTCTCTCCCCATTGACCTGGTGACCCCGTGATGGAGTCGACCCCGTCGACAATTTGCGCAAGATCGATACAGAGGGTGCGATGGCATCGAATAATGCAATGCACGATAGAGAGAGTACAAAGAAGAGACGAAATGACAGAGTGACAGAGGCATAAGTTTGACAATACATCGTTTGCATCCAAAAGAAGAAACTAAAAGAAACTAAAAGTGAGACAAGAACGATGAGCAAGAAAATGAGGAAGAAAGAATGAGAGAAAAAAAAAAAGTTGATGGGTATGACGTTGAATGTGCATAGTTCAAAGATAGGAGCGTCTCTCTCATAGCCTTTTTACCATCGTGTGTATTTAAAGTGAGTATGGGAATTGAATACACTGACGATGGATCACGTGAACTCGAATTCACCAGTTGAGACGAAACGAGAGTGAGTGCGCCTCTACAATCCCACACGTACATATACGTAAGCAACCATTGAGACCTGACCTACTTCAAGGCGTGCTTGCTTGCTTCTGTCTCCTATACCCCAGCCAACCTCTTCAGCACCACTTGACTCAGTCTACGGAGTCGCCTCTGTGCACAACCTTTTATCACTGCACCGTGTGCAAATGCCGCGTTACCGCACTACGTCGCTAAAGTCTCAGTGACTTGAATTAGGATCTTCCGATATGATTGCAGGCAAGTGTTTTTCCTTCGAATATAAAAAAAAAA